CGTGGCGCATCCAAAAGGATGATTAACCGAATTGGCGAACGTTCCATTCCTTATCGCTCCTAGGGCTCTATCGGCACCGCATTTCATGGCATACCTATATAGTACAATGAATTAGGGTTGCGGCTTGCAATCTATTGTTCCGCCACAGATACAGACATGAAACCTATGGCGAGGCCGTTTATCCTGCTCAAGACGTTCGAAAGTTACAGTTGGGTGAAAATCGGTCGAGGAAACGGCAACGGCTCGTCGAGGATTTTTGCCTTTCACGCTCTCCCGCGCGGACATTCACTCTCGCCACCCGCGAGCCGTCTGTGCTCTCCGCGCATGCATTCACTCTCGACACTACTCTCGCACAGTAGAGAGCCATGGTCGAGGAATTCCTCAACCGTTGCTTATAGTAGCGACCAAAAGTCATCGCAAGTACGGTACTTCGTACATTAATTTCTTTTGCCTAACCATTTCCCTCCTTATAGTGATATGTTGCGCCTTATAGCATTTTCGAATCCTATAGCGTCAACGATTCAAAGCATCTGGGAGAGAAATCCTTGAATAATCTCCCAGACTTTCTTCTGGAGAAAAAGTTTGATCCGAGAAAACCGCTTCCGGGAACTTTTTGACCGCTACTGTATTTGTCTGAGGGGATTTCAACGGGCTGAAAAGAGAAGTCGTCTCACCTGTCCTCTCTGCTCCCTGTTTAGCTCGACGGTGAGGTCGACGTTATCTAAAGAATGGACTGTAAGTTCGGAAAAATCGAAAGTAACATTTGAGTCCCTGAATCTTTTGTTGCTTCAGTCCAGTTTACTACTGGGGCGCAATGTCTTCAAATACTGGTGGATAACCTATTAGAAGCATGGTTTTAAAGCTAGCTTCACACTTCCTTTCCGGTGAAATTACACATTTGAAACAATTTCATCACCTCTAAGCAGCAATTATAAAAAGCTAATTATATGGTGTCAAGTTGCCCAAATATGAAGTAAACAGTGAGAGCAGTAAACTGCAGTCACACCAGTGTTGGCAGTATGAGACTAACGCCTCAGACGGGAACTTACAAAATAAATAGGAAATGTGAATAAATTTGGCCCAAACCTATAAGGCTGACAAGGAGGGTCTTTCAGGTCATGGACCGCTTTTCCAAAATGATTTCCTGCACTTTGTAGAGACTCATGCGAGGAACATAAAACTATGGTCCATTTTTCCTGAACACTTCTGGGAACCTCAAAACAGTGGTGAAGAAATGGTCCAAAGTTCAATCCGCCGTGGTGACAAATTTTTGCAATCCATGTTGGAGCCTCCAAATTGTCGCCAAATTACGAGGATGACATGTTAATCGACGCTGGTGCCATTTGGACACAATTTGGAGGCGCCAACATAAATTGCAAAAATTAGACATCACGGAGGATCGAACTTTGGACCATCTCTTCTCCACTATTCTGACCTTCCTAGAAGCGTTCAGGAAAAACGGACCATGGTTTTGTGTTCTCCGCATGAGTCAAAAGTGAGAAAATCATTTTGGAAAAGCGCTCCATGTCCTTGAAGACCTCCCTTGTGAGCTAATAATACAAAAAAGCTATCACGGGGTGATCCGATAACAAAAAATGCGAAAATCGTAAATCTTACGGAGTACCCAGCCAAATTCCCAGTTTTGGTGCACTTGGAACATGCTCGCTGTTTGCAGATAAGTAGCAGAAAAATCCAGGGAAAACTCACGAGTATCCTTGAATTCCACGTACGGCTTTGTAGTTGTCTGAAATATTTAAAATAAAAGATATGCTGGTGAAAAATGTTCCAAAATATTTATGAAAATTAAAATATTAAAACTGATGTTCGAGAAGTGTTTTGGAAGTACTGCTCTCATTCTGTATGATGGAAATGCCGTATTATAATTTTAGAGAAGAACAAATTCCCGAAAAATGTCTGGGCTAAGTTCGAAAAGAGTAGAGATTAGGCAGAAAGATTTTTAAGAAAAATATCTGTGAATATAGAATTTACATCTTAAAAAAGATTCTATATTGTGGAAGAAAGGTGCGAACATTACAATGGCATTACCATTTTGGAACCATTAACGCCCATATCGTCGGTGACGTCGCAACTGTTGGCGAATGGCGAATTTCTACAGAAGTAGAACAATGGGAGAAAATCGTCAGTATTTGTTGTAATTGGAATTCGCGCCAGATGACCCAGTATGATATGAAGATGGTCCGCTAAGTGGGAGATGACGATTCCGGGAGAAGGCGAGGAGAACCACGAAGAAGGCGAAATCGAAACGCGCGCTGGGAGATCGCCGACAACCGATAGGTGTGAGGCGTGCCGATTGGGAATCCACCCAACTGAGAGGAAGACGTCATAGTTCATGACATTTTTCCTGTCGGAAGAAGAACACTGACAGTTTCTTTGAGGAAAACCTTTGGAAAATGTCACTCCTCTATGAAGTGAAACAGTCGCCACGCGCCTTCTCATTGCGTCGAACTTCCTGACGGCAGTACGACTACACTGCGCTTGGGTGCAGAAAGGCATGCAGAGCAATACAACAGTACTTGGGGTTTACTGTTACTGCAATAGATCTTCGGACATATTCGGAGCAAGTCGTGATGCCGCAGTTGTAGGGGAAAAATACCAATTATTAAGGCGGTTCCATCTACAATGTTAAAGCGTAAAGAAATCGGCGTCAGACAATCACTATTC